AAAAGACCAAAACCGGGAAAGCCAGCAGCCCGGCAACAGCAGCAGCAGCACCGCCACCACCAGCCCGCAGCGCCCGCCCGCCGCCGCGGGAGAGCAACCGGCCGCCGCCAAGAGCTCCGGGACGCCCCGCCGCCCACCAGATAGATGTGCGGTCCCACCGCCCGCACGGCCGACGATGAACGCGCAGCTGGCGATGGAGAACATCGGCGATCTGCACGGGGTGAGCCATGAGCCGGTGCCCGCCGCCGCCGACCTGATGAGCGGCAGCCCCCACCACCGGAGCGCGGTGGCCCACCGCGGCAGCCACCTGCCGGCCCACCCGCGCTCCATGGGCATGGCGTCCATCCTCGACGGCGGCGACTACCACCACCACCACCGGCCGCCCGAGCACGCGCTGACGGGCCCCCTGCACCCCACCATGACCATGGCCTGCGAGACATCCCCCGGCATGAGCATGAGCAGCACCTACACCACGTTAACCCCTCTGCAGCCTCTACCTCCCATCTCGACGGTCTCGGACAAGTTCCCTCACCACCACCACCATCACCACCACCACCACCATCCCCACCAGCGGATACCGGGCAACGTGAGCGGCAGCTTCACGCTCATGCGGGACGAGAGGGGTCTGGCGTCTATGAACAATCTCTACACCCCCTACCACAAGGATGTTACCGGCATGGGGCAGAGCCTCTCTCCGTTGTCTGGATCGGGCTTGGGGAGCATCCACAACTCCCAGCAAGGGCTGCCCCACTACGCTCACCCCAGTGCCACCATGCCCGCCGAAAAAATGCTCACCCCAAACGGATTTGAAGCCCACCACCCTGCCATGTTAGCCAGGCATGGCGACCAACATCTCACCCCCACCTCCGCTGGCATGGTGCCTCTCAACGGGATCCCACACCACCCCCATGCCCACTTGAATGCCCAGAGCCACGGGCAGATCCTGGGCTCTGCCAGGGAGCAAAACCCTTCTGTAACTGGTTCGCAGGTCAACAGTGGAAGTAATTCAGGGCAAATGGAAGAAATCAATACCAAAGAAGTAGCTCAGAGGATCACCACCGAGCTCAARCGGTACAGCATCCCCCAGGCTATCTTCGCCCAGAGGGTGCTGTGCCGCTCTCAAGGGACGCTCTCAGACCTGCTGAGGAACCCCAAGCCCTGGAGCAAGCTCAAATCCGGCCGGGAAACCTTCCGCAGAATGTGGAAGTGGCTCCAAGAGCCGGAGTTTCAGCGGATGTCTGCTCTGCGGCTTGCAGGTGAGCCCGCTGCGGGGTGGTCGGGGCACAGCAGCGGCGGAGCGGGGCCTCGGGCCTGGGCAGGCCGTCCCAGTCCCTGCCCGTCCCTGAAGAGCAGCACTGATCCCCCGCTCCGCCACTCCATTTCTCTCCCTTCCCCTCTCCCTATCCCGGCTCGGCGCACCGGCACCGCTCGGTTCCTCTGCGCCGCGCTCAGACAAAGCCGAGCCGGGCTCGGGCTGCGCAGTGCGGCGCCCCGGCTCTCCCCGTTCCACCCGCCCGGTTCGCCTGCCGCCGGCAAAGCGATGCCCAGCGCGCCCGGTAACTGGACGCCGCCGAAAGCCGCACCGGCCGGCGGCAACGCTGCCCTGAGCGCGGAGGGCGAGGCGGAAATGCTTAAATTGGAGGCTGAACCGGGCCCGAGCGGGCCCACGGACGGGGTGCGGGGGAGCCCCGGTAATGCGCCGCCGAGAGGGGTCGGTGCATCTGCTTCGTGTCGGGGACGGTGGGCTCAGGTCGCAGCGGCTGGCGGGGCTCGGGGGCCAGTGTCCCGCTCGCGTTGGGTGAGCTGGGACAGGAGTTTGGCGCGAATGAGTCGAGCCCGGCGGGTGAGCGGTGGCTGAGCAATGCTGTTGGCTAAAATCGTTGGATTTTTTTTTTTTTTTTTAACTGGTTGTAATTATCTTTGGCCCGCGGAGTTTGAGTTTCGCTTGGATTCTTCTGCGTGAGACAAGCCATCCGTGTCGCGGCTTCGCTGCTCCAGAGCCTCACCCCGCTCTCGGGGACGGTGGGCTCAGGTCGCAGCGGCTGGCGGGGCTCGGGGGCCAGTGTCCCGCTCGCGTTGGGTGAGCTGGGACAGGAGTTTGGCGCGAATGAGTCGAGCCCGGCGGGTGAGCGGTGGCTGAGCAATGCTGTTGGCTAAAATCGTTGGATTTTTTTTTTTTTTTTAACTGGTTGTAATTATCATTAGGCCGCAGAGTTTGAGTTTCGCGTGGATGTCTCTGCGTGAGACAAGCCATCCGTGTCGCGGCTTCGCTGCTCCAGAGCCTCACCCCGCTCTCGGCGCTTGCTGCCCGCTGTGCCCCCGAGCACAGCGGGTCCCATATTGTCTGCTCAGAGATGGCCGTCCCGCTCCGTACCTGCTCTCCACCGCCGCCTCCCCAAACCCTCCCGTCCGCGCTCCTGCTGCAGAGCCTGGGTTTAATATACCGTGAGTGAGGGTTTGTTAATTAAGTGATAGGTCTCCATTAATTTGTCCCTGGAGAACGCAAGACAGTCAATCCGAGTTGGAGCCGGGGTCACTGATCCGTTTCACGGACAAAAATAAGGGAAGGGCCAAATCTCTCTCCTCTCAAAACCACAACTGCACCTGTGCTTTTGACTACCGCGACGGTGGGAACTTGCGACCGTTTCCCGAGTTTGCGGGGACGCAGCTCGGCCACCACCGTGCTTCGTGCTTATTTTCAGTCAACYTCTTCGATCCAGAAACCTAAAGCAGAGCTAGGAAGGTTCCGGGGCAGGGCCTCCCTCCCCGCTGTAGCTGGCCCTTAGGTACCCGCCGGTGGGAGGACATTGCTCTCTTTGGCTTCTACTCCTGCGGAGGCAGTTTCAAAGGTCTGATCTCTCAGAAAATGCCCTTTCCGCCTTCCCTTCCTTAGCAGCCACCCCACCTGGGAAAAACCCTCGTCTTGCTGGTGCTATCCKGGAGAGGAGGATGGAGTTCGTGTTTCCAATATCCCCGTAACGATTACTGAGACGAACTTTCTTCGATTCGGAGCGTGTTTTACGACAATTTGGTCGACCTGAATCTCCGCTCATTTGCATAGATCGATACTGGAAACAACCCCTCGATTCGGAGCCTGCTGGCATCCCTCCCCTGGCGCTGCCGGCCCGGAAGCTCTGCCAGCCCAGGCTGCTGCAGGGCCGGGAGGGAGGGAGGCGGCCGTGCTCTGCCCAGCTGCCGGCTCCGGAGGGTCCCATTGTTCGCTTCTGCCCCCGAACCGCCCCTTCTTCCAGCCACCTCAGCGCTGCCCTCTCATAAACGGATCCCGGTAATCCCGTTAGAGAGACAAAGCCTCATTATTCCGCCTTCCCTTTCCGATGAAACCCCAAAACTGGCACCTTAGAGAAACAGCTTCCCCGGGGCGAAGAGGGCTCGCAGCCCGGGGGAGTCGGGATGAGCCGCCCGCACCCGGGGGTCCCCGCTTCCCTCGCAGCCGGGTCGGGCCGGGCCCCGCAGGGATCTCCCCGCGTACCGGGGGCTCCGGGCCCCTTCGGGCGCTCCCCACCTGGGCGCCGGCAGCACGTGGGTATTTGCATAGCGCCGCGTCCCGGTCAATGGGGGCGGTCCCGAGACCCCCGCCCCGCCCCGCGCAGYCTGCGCGCCCTTCTGCGCCCCTCCGCGCCGTGCTGCCGGCGACCGGCTGTAAATGCATAAAGTATCGATTTTATTTTGTGCAGGTTTTAAACGTGTGATGATCTTACTAAGTGGTAAAAATCTGCCCCGATTGATATTGATGTATGAACATCAATTCAAAATAACATAAATTACTGCAGCCGACGCAGATTAAATTTCACGTCCAAATTATAACTCACTCCCGGGCGTTTAGAGAATTATCAGGTAGATAAATACCCAGAGCTGCCTTCATTTCTTCCCTTTCTGATTTCCTGCAGACAACAACCGGGAGGTAGTGAGGGGGATGGAGCCTGCTTATTTTAGGCCTTGCGGTCTCGCCTTACACTTTATCTTGAGTATTTGCCCCTTCCAGCCATCCCTGGGGGATTCCTACCTCCCAGATTACAGAAGCTCCTACAAATAGAGGAAAAATTGGTAGTTACATGGAAGCAGGATTGAGGTCTTGACACTTCCTGGGCTGTCTCTTGAAATGTAAGCAGAACTGCTAATTGCAAAGCTGACCTCTTCCAGCCTCCATCTTATTCATCCCATCTCCCTTCTCTTCTCTCTTCTCTTTTCCTTTGTCTGTCCCACTCTCTCTCTCCTCTCTATCACTGAATATTTATCTATTTGACTGTCTCTCTGTTAGTCTTCCCTCCTTCCCCCTGCCTTCACTGACATTTGGACAAGCTGTGAAGGGACACCGAAAAAAGAAATACAATTAAAAGTCCATCCCTTCTGCAGCCTGCTGGGATTTAAAGCTGAATTTATTTCAGGTTTCTTCCSTGTGTATGAGAGGAAACAGGAGGGCATAAAGAAGGGAAAAAAAACCCGACTTGGTCTCGTTCAGGAACAAAAATCTGCTTCGAGTCATTCGTTGTTGGAACAGCGACTGCCCGCCGGCCTCGCACGGGCTGCTCGCCGGTCGGGAGGAAGGGTCGGGGCCAGGGGAAACGCGGCAAAGATACATTTTGCGAACGGACCAGAGGAGTGTAAAGCAACCCAGGGCTCCTTAGGATCTACTGCCGGCGGGGGATCCTTTGCCGAGGTGTGCCTTCTGAGCTACTCGTCCCGAAGGGCCCCTCCGTGGCGGTTCCCCGAGTGGGTGTCAGCAGGGAAAGGCGCCGTGGGGAACCCGCACTCACCCGCGGCTTTCAGGAGGGGCCAGACCCATCCCTCCAAAGCTGCTTGATGTTTGCCTGCGACCTGACTGGTATTTTTCAGAGCTGCACCTCTTTTCCTCCTCTTCTCTTATCCTTTCTCCCTCCTAATGTGAATCTCGGCTAAGGTGAAGCCTTGGGAACCGGCGAGAAATTCTCGCCAAATTAACTGTAAAGAAATCGATGRAGTAATCAGACCGTTTTCCACATTAAATATGAAATCTAATGACGCCGTTTGCACCTCTCGCCCGCCGCTGCCCCCGAGCGCGCCGGGAAGGTCGGGACCGCCCCGGCCCCGGTGGCCTCATTAGGGGCTGTTTATTATTTACCCTGCGGGMACTTTGCATAAAGACATTTGCATCAGGGAGGCGGGGGACATCGACCGCGGCYTTCACCGGCGACACCCCGAGCGCGGACCGGGCCCGGCGGAGAGGCCTTGTCCCTCCGGGCCCTGCTGGCCGCCTGGACGGGGAGGGCCCCGACCTGGGTCACTGCAGCTTGGGCCGTGACAGCGGCCCCTCCAGCACTGCCGGTGCGGTGCCCGGGCGGAGGCAAGGGGCCCCGTCCCGSTGTGATCGGAAGGCGGGAGGGCAGCACCCGTGCCGCCCCCGAAGCAGTCGTGCCCGCCACCGCAGCGCCCGGTGCGCAGCCGGGGCAGCGCTGGGACGCGCTTGTTTGCCGGCCGTGTCCTTCGGCGGGATTGATTTACAGCTGCGTTTGCCCTTCGTTAATGTTTGCCCAGCGGGAGGAGGAGGAGCGGGGCCTGGGTGAGCCACGTTCCTCTGCACTGGGCCTGGCCCGCCCCGCGCCCGTCCTGCCAGAGCCCTCCCAGGCTCGGCCCCTGTTTTTTTGTTCGTGCGTGCGTTCTCTCGGTTGTTTGTTTGTTTTAATTACCCGCCSTGTGGCGGGGCGGCACCGGGGGCCGTGCCCGGTCCCACCCTCGCYTTCGTTTGAATCAGACAGCCTCAAAACAGGGCCGCTCCCTCCCGTGGGTGCCGCGGGGCCCTGGGGGATCACACAGCAGGGCTGTGTGCGCGATGCCCTCCCCAACCGGCCGGGGCCATCGCGCCGCCCGCAGCCCTCGCTCGTCGCCCCTCGGTTCCCGGGGGCTCTGCGCCATCTACTGACCGCCRGCGGGCGGGAACGGCCCCGCGGCCCGGGCACCCCGCCCGCACCGGGCACAGGCGGCAGCTCCCCGAGTCGGGAGCGCTGCGAGCGGAGAGCCCCGCGCCGCCGCCCGACCTGGCTCCATCCTGCCGTTCCCTGCGAGCGCAGACGGAGAGCGGCACCGCCCGCCTTCAGCACCGCGGACAGCGACCGCCGGCACGGCCCGACCCCGCTCCCGGCCCGCCTCCGCCTCTGCCTCCGCCCCGGCGGACCCGCTCCCGGAGCCAGCCCTCCGGCGGGCCGGGGACACGCCAGCCCCGCTCCCAGTTGATGGAACAGGCCGCCCGTGGCACGGGCGCAGGTGCTTTTTGAGTCGCCCCACGGCTGCCGGCCCCGATATGAAGCAGCATCGCATCGATTATATGTAAAGGCAGCCGGCAATTAGTGCCTCGGTGCTGCGGCGAGCGCCGGGCTGAGCGGACGGGCTGTCCGCGACGGGAGCRGCTCGGCTCCTGGCAGGGCAGAGCCCTCAGGGCACCTGTGTTGGGGGTGAGTGCCTTCGAACGAGTGCGTAGCCAGAGGGGAAACGAGCTCCCCCTAGCACGGTAACTCAGCCAGACAGAGGGGTCGGGACACCCCGGGAGGAGAGAGAGGAGAGGTGCCTGTCGCCAGAATCGTGCCCGCCGCAGGGGCCACCGGTAGGGAGCCCGGGCGCATGCTGATTCTACAGCTGGATACTGTCGTGTGCGATCTCCTTTTAGACAGTCGGAAAGGAACGTGATGGCCAGTTTGGGACAAATTAATCTGGATATCCACAGGCCAGATGTGCTTCGGTGTCTGACTTGGCCTGTACCGGCATTAAACCACAGCTCCTGCTTTGCCTCAGGCAGCCTTCACCTSTCTGTGTAGCCGAAGGGTCCGCATAAGCTCCACACAAAGGACAAGTTAGTTTCCAGGGAGTTCTAAGGTGGCTGAAGCGCAGCAGCTGTTGCTGAAGTGCTGGTGAATTCCACCTGAAGACTACGGGCACCGAGGGGTGTTCTTTCTGAGGACCAACGGGACCCAGCATGGCAGCGTGTCGGGTGCTCCCATAATCAAATCGATAAATGTCGATTCGAATTTCAGACATAAATCTACCTGGATTAATCATGCACGGGCAGAGAAGTGACCGATGCTGACAGACTGTCTTTGGAAACGTAGCTGAATTGAGCCGTTTTGCTTAAGAAGTCAGATTTACGATGCCGAAAGATTAATTTATAGGAACAATTTATACGCTCAACAGTAGTTTTCACTTTTTTTCCCGTTTTAGGGCGATAGGAAGCCTCAGTGGTGACATTTTCCATGCGGCTCAAACGCCAATTAAATCGCGATGGATGGCTGCTGTTSTGCAGGTGTGCGGGCAGCACCGCGGGCTGCTGCGGGGTGCGGAGCTTGGCGCCGGTGCGTGCGGGATCTGGCTAGAAATGCTGCTGCTTCAGATAGAGGAAAGTATTGAATCGGAAGGCATCAGGGGGCTCTGCCTTAACGCTTGGGTGCAGAAGCCACTGAAGTGAGCTTGGGATCAAGTTTCCGGTATTTTTAGGGTACAGGAGTCTGCGCTCGTTGTCACATGCATTACAAACCCGCCGTTAAGAAGTGAGCCACAGGCGGGAGAGTTTCMCACAGTCCCTATTCTCCATTTGCCCCGGCACAGGAATGTTGTCATATGGCTTCCCTAACGTCCCCTCAACCGGAGAAACTTCTTTATGTCATCACTGACCCATTTCTCCTCTATTTGAAACTTATCTCGTTATTTTGAATATATTGGAATTGACGGAGGACTTAAAAATTGGAGCCGGGGAAGCGGAAGCCGGCAGGCAGGTCTTTAGGGGCAGAACCAGAGAAGCCTCCGGGTTTTTCAATGAATCTGGCTACTYTCAATGTTTCAGTGAAGGTTTTGCAACGGATAGTGTCACTTGCACCGCTCAGGAGCTCAGTTTTCCGCTGCTGTAGCAGCGTCCCGGACTGGGGCTGCGGGAGGGGGCGGAATGACYCAACCTGACGCCGAGTCCGCATCCGAACGCCTCGGAGGTCCGCGGGCGGATTCGCTCCCACGGCTCGGAGCCGGGTCAGCGGGCCCGGTGGGCCCCCGCACTGGGGTTTGTCCCGCGAACCAGCGCGGGTGGGGCGGGGCTGCGGGGCGGGAGGCGCGGAGCAGCGTGGAGCAGCACGGAGCGGGCTGAGCGCGGCGCGGCCAGGTGCGGGGCGGGTGGTGCTGCGGGGGCCGGGCCGCGGAGGCGGGGCGCGGCACAGAAGCGGAGCAGGGCACAGCACAGCAGAGCGCACGAAGAGCGGGTGGCGTTTCCCAGCTTGCGGTATGCGGGGTGTTGCGGTACGGAGCGGCCGGCACTCCCCAACGGTCTGCAGCGGCTTGATGCGGTGTGAAGCGGCAGCGCGGGTGCGGAGCGCATGGCGTGGTGTGATGTCTTGGGGAGC